AAACTGCATAGCAACATTATGGCAACTGCATGGCAACACCCTAGCAGCTGAATAACAATGCCCTAGTGACTATGGCAACAGTGTAGCAACTGCATAGCGACATCCAAGTGGCTGTATACTAACATGATAGCAATTCTATAGCAACATCCTAGTAGGTGCATAGCAACACCCTAGTGACTGTATAGCAACATTATAGCAACAGCATAACAACACCCTAGTTAGGGGAAAGCAACATTATAGCAACACCCTAGTGACTGTATAGCAACATTATAGCAACTCCATAGCAACACCCTAGGAAGGGGATAGCAGCATTATAGCAACACCCTAGTGACTGTATAGCAACATCATAGCAACTGCATAGCAACACCCTAGTGACTGTATAACAGTGTCATAGCAACTCCATAGCAACACCCTAGTGACTGTATAGCAACATTATAGCAACTGCATAGCAACACCCTAGGAAGGGGATAGCAGCATTATAGCAACACCCTAGTGACTGTATAGCAACATCATAGCAACTGCATAGCAACACCCTAGTGACTGTATAACAGTGTCATAGCAACTCCATAGCAACACCCTAGTGACTGTATAGCAACATTATAGCAACTGCATAGCAACACCCTAGGAAGGGGATAGCAGCATTATAGCAACACCCTAGTGACTGTATAGCAACATTATAGCAACAGCATAACAACACCCTAGTTAGGGGAAAGCAACATTATAGCAACACCCTAGTGACTGTATAGCAACATTATAGCAACTGCATAGCAACACCCTAGGAAGGGGATAGCAGCATTATAGCAACACCCTAGTGACTGTATAGCAACATCATAGCAACTGCATAGCAACACCCTAGTGACTGTATAACAGTGTCATAGCAACTCCATAGCAACACCCTAGTGACTGTATAGCAACATTATAGCAACTGCATAGCAACACCCTAGGAAGGGGATAGCAGCATTATAGCAACACCCTAGTGACTGTATAGCAACATCATAGCAACTGCATAGCAACACCCTAGTGACTGTATAACAGTGTCATAGCAACTCCATAGCAACACCCTAGTGACTGTATAGCAACATTATAGCAACTCCATAGCAACACCCTAGTGACTGTACAGCAACATTATAGCAACTCCATAGCAACACCCTAGTGACTGTATAGCAACATTATAGCAACTGCATAGCAACACCCTAGTAAGGGGATAGCAGCATTATAGCAACACCCTAGTGACTGTATAGCAACATTATAGCAACTGCATAGCAACACCCTAGTAAGGGGATAGCAACATTATAGCAACACCCTAGTAAGGGGATAGCAACAGCATAGCAAAACCCTAGTGACTGTATAGCAACATCATAGCAACTTTATAGCAACACCCTAGTGACTGTATAGCAACATTATAGCAACTCCATAGCAAAACCCTAGTGACTGTATAGCAACATCATAGCAACTTTATAGCAACACCCTAGTGACTGTATAGCAACATTATAGCAACTCCATAGCAACACCCTAGTGACTGTATAGCAACATTATAGCAACTGCATAGCAACACCCTAGGAAGGGGATAGCAACAGCATAGCAAAACCCGAGTGACTGTATAGCAACTGCATAGCAACTGCATAGCAACCCCCAGTAGCTGCATAGTGACACAGTTGACAAACTTGTGTGTGTGTGTGTGGTCTCTCTTAGCTCCTGCCTCCATCAAGCTGCTGGTGGAGGACCCTATCGTGGTGAACCCGGGTCAGACGGTGTCTCTGGTCTGCATCCCCACTGGAGGAGAGCCGGCTCCGCTCCTCAGCTGGACCAGCAGCTCCGGCTCTCTGCCAGAGAAGAGTGTGTTAAAGGACGGGACGCTCACACTGCCTGCCGTCACATCTGCAGACGCCGGCGCGTACAGCTGCATCGCCACCAATAATGTGGGCAACCCGGCCAAGAAGACCACCACCATCATCGTCAGAGGTCAGATACTCTTCCTTTTCATTTGATAGTTCTCTTTTACAGAACATACCATACACTCACTGGCCACTTTATTAGGTACGCCTTACTAGTACCGGGTTGGACGCCTTTTGCCTTCAGAACTGCTTTAGTCCTTCATGGCAGAGATTCAACAAGCCACTGGAAATATTCCTCAGAGATTTTGCTCCATATTGACATGATGTTGACATGACATGATTGTCCAGTTTTGGTGAGCCTGTGTGAATTGTAGCCTCAGTTTCCTGTTCTTAGCTGACAGGAGCAGCACCCGGTGTGCTCTTCTGCTGCTGTAGCCCATCCGCCTCGAGGTTGGACGTGTTGTGTGTTCAGAGATGCTCTTCTGCAGAGCTCGGTTGTAGCGAGTGCTTATTTGAGTTACTGTTGCCTTTCTATCAGCTGGAACCAGTCTGGCCATTCTTCTCTGACCTCTGGCCTCATCAACAAGGCATTTGCGCCCACAGAACTGCCGCTCACTGGATATTTCCTCTTTGTCGGAGCATTCTCTGTAAACCCTAGAGATGGTTGTGCGTGAAAATCCCAGTAGATCAGCAGTTTCTGAAATACTCATAGCAGCCCGTCTGGCAGCAACAACCATGCCACGATCAAAGTCTCTTAAATCCCCTTTCTTCCCCATTCTGATGCTAACTTTGAACTGCAGCAGATCCTCTTGACCATGCCTGCATGCATTGAGCTGCTGCCATGTGATTGGCTGATTAGAAATTTGTGTTACGAGCAGTTGGACAGGTGTACCTAATAAAGTGGCCGGCGAGTGTGTATGGGTAACATGAACCATACCTGTGTGTGACTGACCGTCTCCTCTTCTACTGAAGCCGCTGGTCATGTGACATGTGTCTCTAAGAGAGTGTGACAGATCACACACACACACACACTGCTGGGAATTAACAGTGTGACGATTGTCTGCTTTCTAGTCTGCATCTGAGTCTGCATTCACACAGATGTGCTCACACTGACATTCAGACGTAGTAAAATAGATTAGAAAATTTGATTGTGTGTGTGTGTGT